TTCATTCCGCTGTGGTGACCCCGGATTAATAAAGGAACTAAGCCGACAAGAAAATGAATGAATGAATGACATTACTTCTCATAAGTGTTAGTTCATTTATTATACTTTTATAAGTTTGCATCGCACAATTTTGACTTTATTTTTCCAAAAAAATTCGGATTTTACATCTCGCATTTTTACTTTTTACTTTTAATTGCTAGTTTATGTCACCATTTTTGAATTGAGAGTTTATATCGCAATTCTGATGTGTTTGGTTCTGGTTATCATGACTCACTTTATATCAGTTTAAAAATCACAACAGCCTGAATTTTGACATTTTTCTCAGAAGTTTGTCTTATTTTGACTTTAAAACTTTTTGCATCTCAACTTAATTTCTTGTGTACATTTTTCTGACATGTTGATTTTATTAATTTATTTTTGACAATTTAAACTCAGAATTATATGTGTATATTTTCCAATTCTGTTTTTTTTTCTCTGAATTTGACATTTATATCTCACGATTTTGACTGTTCCCCCACAAAATGTATCACACAATTTTGACTTTCTTTTTAAAGAATTTTGAGTTTACATTTTGCAGTTTTTACTTTTACTTGTAATTGCTAGTTTATATGTCTCCTTTTTTGAATTGCAAGTTTATATTGTATTTCTAATGTTTTTTCAAAAGGGGTCTGGATGCAGACCTGGTGAAGTGCAATCTGAGCTGCGTCCAATGCTTTTTAATGGGCTCACCTAACCCCACCCCTAACCCTACCCATCAAAGTGATGTCACTCGCTCCATTTGAGTGCATTGTGTCTGACATTGCATCGCTGAGTGATGCAATCTCAGCTTGCATCATAAAGGCTGCATCCAGATACTATTGCTTTTTTCTGATGTTTTCTAAACTCAGACAGCTCTAACTTTTTTCTCTTTTTTTTCTCATTTAGCAATTTTGACTTTAGAGCAATTCCACTCATATGTCAACCTTGCCATAAAAAATATAGTTTTACAGTACTTTAGAAATACTCAAAAATGTCTCTGTCAATGTTTTCAAACTATTATATTTGATTTATCAAAGTAACACAAGTTACAATTTCACATCTGTCACATCCATAACCGAGAGATGTCACACCCATAACCAAGTTTTTTCCTCATGAATGCAAATATATTTAATAAAATCAATCAAGTTTGTTCTATAGTGAGCCAACTCTTATCCTTTTTGATTAGCATTATACAGCATGTTGTATGCTGTAAACTTGCTGACTTTTTTTGGTCAATCTATAACATGTTTATATTCTTCATTTTAATTTGATATTTGACATTTTTCTGGTCCCTTAACTATGAAAAAATGCTCTGCTCTGGAAAATATAAACAAATGTTTCAATATAATGTTAACATATACTTTCTCTGTGAATTTATGTGTTGAGTTTTTACTGCAAATGTCACATCCATAAACTAAAATTGCTCACTTATCAGAGTTTATATCTAATTTTGACATAATTTATTTATAATTGCAAGTTAGTATCTTACAGTACTGATTTATCTTTCATCACAATTGCAAGTTTATTGTTGAATTCTGACTTTCAGAAGTTTTAGGCAACAACAAAGCTTTTTTTCTGCCTTTATGTATTTTTCAGTATTATTAGAATAGCCTACATCTTTTTTTCAGTTCTGAGTTTATTCTCACTGCTGCGAGATTGTCTCACAACCTGACTTGATGCCAAAATTTAACACCTTAGATGGTTTACATGTTTTTTTTTTAGAAATCTGTAAATATTTTTACTCAGAGTTGGGTTTTTGTTGCAATTCTGACTATTTAAAAGTATTTTTTTGTTTATATCTAATTTTGATTCCATTTATTATTCCTGTACTGTTATTACTTTTGCTATTACTATTAATATTCGTTTTTACTCATAAATGCATTTTTTTTTAAAATGTTACTTTTCCAGTTTTGAGTTATATGAAACTTAACCTAAAGTATGAGTTTATTTGCAGTCTAAACAGCTTCTAGGGCATTGCGTGTCTTCATTTTGGACCACTTCTTGGACACTTTTAATGCTTCCAAACATTTTGTTGCATTTATAAATCGCCCATGTCTTGAGGTTGTTCAGTATGATGTGCGATTTGATTGGACAAAAATCATTTTCCTAGTCTTAAACAATGCACACACATATAGTTGAACATTTTATATTCAGTGGTGGATAGTTTGATAGTTTTGTCAGTATGAAGTTTTGTGGCAAGTCACTTCAACTAACCACTTCCAAACAGCAGGTGATTCCCAACAGGATACTTTCCAATATTTGACGTTTAAACACAGTGAAAGCCTAATGACTGTCATTTGAATAATCAAGCACATCTTTGCTGCAACTTACTCTCTGGCATAATTTGACTTTTTTAATAGCCGACGATTCTGTCACTTGATCTACAGCTCTGGAGTTGGAATCCCCCGCTGTGAATATGTAATATTTAGACTGATTGTGAGAGAAAGAATGATAAAAAGGTTGTACTGTTTGCCACTGTGTGAAATTAAATTGGTATGAGAAACGTGAATGGATCAGCGTAGCTATCTGCGCCTGCCATCCCTGCTGGCTGACGGACATGGATGGACCTTGGACAGCTGAGGTCCGACTTGGCCCTGTTGCTTCTATTCATGGCTCAATAGGTAGCCCTTCCTTTGTGGAGGCTAAACAGATTAACATAAATCCATCCAACCTGTGGGACTGCATAGATAAGATGCTCTATAGCTTGTTGGCCTCATAATGGCTATTGTTAGAGAACTGGAAACCTACAGCACAAATGTGTGGCTGGTTTTAGTGGCTTGAATTTGCATAGAAAGGGAGTTGTTTCAATAGCAAATTTTTAAATGTTGCAAACTTTGGTTTTTGCATGACATAGGCAGATACTGTATATACAGCCTGCAGTTGTGGTTTTCAAGTAGGTGGAAAGGGCCCATTAAGGTCATGATATACTTCAAGCGAAATTTAATTGAAACTGGTTTGATGTCATTTCAAAAATATACACAGGCCAAGACAAAGTTCATTTGGAGTTCATTTCAGGAGGTTAAAACGTCATTTCTAAAGGTATTTCCGGAAAGAAATTTACAGACCACTGGACCATGGCGATTATATAACGGAAGGTGTGGCTTTGAGGCTCCACCTTCTTTTAAATGAAAACCATCTCTACTTTATTTCCTTCATTCAGTCTGTCAGGGTCAGATGCAAGTAAATGGATAACCATCAAAAAGCTATTTCTAAAAGTACTAATTCTATAGAAAGTGATACTGGCATCATATTCAAAACTGTAAAGCTGTTTGTTTTTGAGAGATCAAAGGAAGTGCTGTGTAAATAAATGTCACTGTTTGTTTAAAAAAAGTCAATATTTAAATAATTTACATAGATTTTTTCAAAGACAAGCACGCACACATCTCATTATTATTTTTATTATTGTTACGATATTAATAATAATAATAATAATAATAATTATTATTATTATATAAATTATATTATTATTATTTTCTGTATTGTTTCAAACGCTAATGTTAAATTTAAATACTGAGTCCCCAGGGCCTCATTGCACCTTTACCAAAACAGGCTCATTGTGGATACATACCCCTGTATATGTTCCTGGAGAGTGTGAATTATGTAGCCAGAGGTACGTATGGCTGCATTATGTTTTTAAAACAAACTGTTCGGGGTGGTATGACACCGCCAACAATTTCTGTTCCTGTTAGCGCAACCAGCTGACCGCTTACATCCATATGGACGACTTTACCAGTTTCCCCAGTATCTCACCCCATACACTAATAGACTTTGGACACGGGGCTGAGATGACTGCGACAAAAGCAAACACAAAATAATAATAAAATAAACAACAGGGGCGATGAGGTGGTGCAGTGGGTAGCACATTTGCATGACAGCGAGAAGGTTGCTGGTTCGAGCCTCGGCTGTGTCAGTTGGCGTTTCTGTGTGGAGTTTGGATGTTCTCTCTGTGTTCGTGTGGGTTTTCTCTGGGTGCTTCGGTTTCCCAAAAGACAAAAACAGTCACGTACAGGTGAATTGGGTTGGCTAAATTGTATGTATAAATGAGAATGTATGGATGTTTCCCAGCAATGGGTTGCAGCTGGTAGGGCATGCGCTGCGTGAAAGTGCTGAATAAGTTGACTGTTCATTCCGCTGTGGCCATCCCGAATTAATAAAGGGACTAAGCCGAAAAGAAAATGAATGAATAAACAAAAATGTGGCTGAAAATGTGGTGTAGTCACGCAGCTGTGACTGCTTTTCTTTTTCTAGATTGCTTTAGAAAACACTATTGGTTGGGTTTCGGGACAGGGTGGGTGAGTCAGTCGATCAGTCGCTCAGTCAGTCGAAAGCAAGCTGGCCTATTTGGCTGAAGTGTATATTGCGCCCTCTGGTGGATTTTCAAAAACTGTGAGCAGATGGCACGCTATGTATTTCGCTGTCCCCAAAAATGTAGACGTGGGTACTTAGTTTAATTAAATAAACAGTTCAGCCCCGCACAAGTAATTAGCTGTTGATTTACTTATCCTTACTCCATCCAAATATTTGTAACTTTTTTCACTTTCTTAATTGAAATTAAAGAAAAAAAATCTGAAGTGTGGTCCAGTTATTTATATAATAATAATAATAATAATAATAATAATAATAATATGATTATCAAACATAAATTATACAGCTGTCATAAGTTCATGATAACAGAAATTCAGATGGAGCTTAAACATGTGGTATGGGTTCAAAAGGTTCAGAAGTCTGGTTTGTTTCAGAAAATGCACACCCTACTTTTAAATGGCATTATTAATATAAATGGCATCATTAATTTCCCTCTGTTATAGAAGCTGCTTGTCTTCAGTAGTCAGGTTAAAGAGATTACGATGGTGAATCATAATGTATAGCCCGAGAACGCCAGGTTGACCGGAGCTCCACTTCTCCAAAGCCCCGCATGGGGGCGTCGTTCGCACACTTTCAAGCACACTAGACTCGCACCGAGCGCCAGAAAGTGCGCTTGGAGAGAAAGAAACATCGCTTCGAACTGTTTATCCTGACGTCAGTTTGAACGGATCGCACTGCCCCCGTATCACTTCACGCGACTCTCAACTGAGCTTCGGCTGGATTTCGGGAATCGATGAACGGGAGCGAGTCCACAACTTCACCCGTTCAAACTACTGGAGCCACTGAAATGATTTCGACTTGTTTTCCCAACTGGACTAACAACGGAAAATGAATACCTGCGCCTTTCTCTTGATCCTGGCTGTTCAGATCCACGCCGACAGCGTAGAGGGACCAACAGGTAAAGTCCCGTTTATTTGGAGTTACACAAACTGCGCACTTACAAACTTGTGTGTGTGTTTTGAAGATGTGAGAAGCATATGTTGTCTTGACAGCAGAAGGAGGCTGAGTTATACTTGGAGGAGCTGAACTTTTCTAATAAATGAAAGATGTGCGCTTGGTTGTCATAAAAACAGTGAAGATGTCACTAGAGGCTTGAAATGAAGCGTGCTTTGCTGTGGACTGTTATTTTGTACAGTTATGAGACGCCCTGTTTAAACATTCCGTCTGTCGTTAAGGTTAGATTCGTAGTATCGGTCTGTGTGTGTGTTGGTGTGGTGTATTTTGCATTGAAAACACAAGCATGGAAGTTGTTTGTTATAAACAAGAGCAGTCTCATCTGCAAAGCTTTAAATCAGAGGTCGAATAGCGAAACATTTGTGGCTGCACCAGACGTGCTTTATTATTATGCCATAAATTTGTCTTTTAAATAATGTAATCCTTTTCAAAAAGATTTACATTGAGTTTTGTTTAGAAGCGAATTCACACGTCACAACGAACAACTGATTTTAAAATGACTCGTGTATATTTTTACTTATCGTTCGACTAACGTATGTATTCAAAACCACAATATATTCCTCATACACTTTTCACAACAAGATACAACTTTTTTTATGCGTTTAAAAGGATAACTTACAGTGTGAAGTGTGTAGTATAGCTTGACTCGCTGTGATGTAACTGAATCCCTCATTCTGTAAACCGCTGATAAAATATCCGGTTGTGCTTCTGAATTATCACAGCTTGTTTATGAATTGGTCATACTAGTCTGAATACAGTTCAAAAGGCTCTTATCATTTATCCAAATGTGTTTATCAGTTGAAGAACATACCTAATAACATAATAATAACATATTTCCACATTGAGTTTGGCGCCACACTTCTGTGGTTTTTACTATGTGAGGGAATGATGAGGTAATAGCCTTAAACGAGGTTGAGATGGTTTACTGGTTTTACCCAGTCAACGATGATCTGGTCATACTGGTGTTTTCCTGATTTAACTGAGTGTAGAAACAAAATACTGAGAATGCTGGGAGAACAAATAACACCAGTTTAGGCTGATTGGTTGTTTAATAATTTGTTTATTGATTGATTGATTGATTGATTGATTGCCAGGAAATTTGCATTTGAAGAAAGAACATGTAAATAAATAAATCAGCTGCTAGTGGCATACTGGTTTTAGCTGGTTACATGTGTTCTCCTCATCTAGCTGGCCTCATCTAGCTGCATTTGTTTTCCTTGTACAGGTATGTGCACAAAATCTGCCTTATCTGGGAGATCTACAACTTAGACTGGTTTGTTTATTATTTATTTATTGATTTATTTACTTTTGAAATTGTCATTAAATTTATATTTTAAATGAGAAAAGATTCAAACCTGTAATGAATACAAATAAATAAATCACCTGCTAGTGGTTTGCTGGTTTTAGCTGGTTTGTGCTTTCTTCATCTAGCTGGCTTTCGTTTGTTTTCCCCATACAAGCATAAATCTGCCTTATCTGGGAGATCCATACTCCATCTTATGCTAGTTTGTTTATTTATTTATTTATTTATTTATTTGTTTATTTATTTATTCATTCATTCAGTAAATTTACATTAAATAAGAAAATGCACAAATGCTAGAACGAATACAAAAAATAAATAAATCACCTGCTAGTGGCTTGCTGGTTTTAGCTGGTTATATGTGCTCTCCTCAAAGCTGGCTTTCATTTGTTTTCCCTGTATGTGCACAACATCTGCCATATCTAGGAGATCCACACTCCATCTTAGGCTGGTTTGTTTGTTTCTTTGCATCGCAATTTGAAGATGGGGACAATTCACATCTGAATTAATAAAAAGTCCAAATAGAAATTGTATATAATGAAATTAGCCATTTTTCCAAATTGTAATAATGCAGAAAAAAAATCACATTACTGTTTTTTGTGATACCATTTTCATCTTAAAAAATAAATCTTGATAAACATTGTTTATCATTTAAATGAAAATGCTAGTTAGGGGACCTTATAATGCAACTTTTGACAACAAAAGACAATTAAAAAGAACTAAAATACAAGAAAACTATTTTGTGACAACTGTGATGTCATATGCAAAATATGTATAATCTATATGCATGTATTAATCCCCCCCCCACACTCCTGTGTTTTAGCTGCTCATCGCCAATATTGACCTAACATGCATGCTGTATTACAGAGGGTTTTAATTGTTTTTATAAATCATGGAGAACAGACATAATTTTTACAATGCTGGAAAATGGTTCCATTTTTAGTGCATTATTGTCTACGTGAATGTGCTCTTACCTAAACATACCCTGATGATTAACTGGTTTTAATTATTTTGAGCTAGTCTTCCTATCTGGTCAAGCTGGTTTTGCCTGGTTTTAGCAGTGTGTGCACGCACACAACCAGACTAGCAAATGAAATGAAGATGGCTATTTAACTTTTTATCTAAATGATAAATGATAGTGTGAAAATTGTGGTCAACTGACTTTTTAAATAGTAAAAAATGACATATTTTACACCCATTAAATTGAGTCATTTTTAATATCTAATGGTGGCCTGGCTTAAGCTGGTCTCCTGGTCTGGTCAAGCAACACGATCAGGTGGTTTAACCAGAATTTCATGAAAACCAGCCAGCACGCCAATCTGACCATACTTGGAGACCAACGAACCTTTTTGCATGTTTGAAATTTACATTATTTTCCATGTGTGCCCATGTCTTTTAGGCTAGTTTCTTCATGAAGAACATTGGCTGCTTGCCACGGTTTTTGATTTCAGGATTTTACTATCCTCATAGGCATAACCTGATCCACACACGCACAGAGATTATGAACTGCTTCCTCCTCCACACTGTCAGTGAGTATAGTATTAAGACAGAGCAGGTACAGCAAAACTGCACTCCCTCTGAGCCAGGCTGTAGGACACATGTCGCATGATTCGGCCAAAGAAACTTGACAAACAATCATGATCCGTTTGAGGAAGCTATTGATTTTCAGTTAACTAAATGGCTTCCATTTAGCAAGCTGTCAAGTAGCTGTAGGGTTCTGTGACTACTGCTGCGGTCTGTGCATTCCCTCTGTTCTTCAGCTGCCGTCTAATCCTAGTTTCTGTGGCTTTCTGGCCTGATTCGCTTGCTGTAATCCATTCTTATTGTGTTCGGTTGCTGTTTCCGCCATTTGTTTTTGTTGTCTTTTGTTTTCGCATGGCCTTGTTGACAGAAGGCAGCGACGAGTGACCTGATGGGAGATGAATACAGGCATTGTATCCAAGTGTCTGCTTCATTTTTAGCTGTTCACACCATCCCTGTCAAGCTCTATGCTTGTCATTTGTGAGCTTTTCATCATTATTTTGAGTGTACTTGTAAAAATGAGTGGATTAGCTCATTATGTAAAATGTTGAATGAGTTGTAAGACGTTTTTTTTTGTTTTAACAATTGAAAACCTTATTTATAAGAATCCTGGGTTATATTGTGCTTCACACTGCTTATAATTTACCCCGGGTTAACAATTAATCTTGGGTGTTAATACACTGCTGTTTCACTTTGGAAATCTTTAACTTGAGCCTCATTTACACTAATGTCCTTTAGATGGCATTTTAGAATGAAAACAATCCATGTCCATACAGGAGTTTCGGAAAAGATCTTCATTATAACAATGAAAACGTACATCATGTGACCATACATATGCTCTCAGCATGCATATAAGAATTATGTGCTTCATTCTGTGTTTAGTGAGTTGTCAATATCGCTGACTGGTTGAACAATGACAACGATGGCGAAGAAAGTACCATAATTTTTTTTCTGAAATGATTCTTTATTTAAAAAATGCAGTATATCCATAAATGCATGACATTGAACTTATATATATAAATATATATATATATTTACAATTTCGCCAGATGACTTGAAAACTGCTATTTTAAAAAACTGTATTCATTTAGAATGATTGGGATGATTCTGTAGGAAAGTGAATCATACATAAAATGATAAATTACAAGCAAATACGAAAAAAAAAAGCAAAGATAGAAGTGAAATAAACAGTGTTTTATGGTTTTCAGGGCAGCCAAATAGTATTCAGGTAGAGAATTTAAATAATTAATTTTAATATAACCCTGCAAAAGTCTTTACTGTATAAATAAATCAATAATGTTATTCTTTATTAATGTTACGAACAGTTACATTTCTTGTGCTTCAATACTTTAAACTTTGTCAGGCCTTGAAAACGTGCAAATGAAAAACTTTCACTTAATTTTGGTTAAACTACACAATTTTCTTGTGCAATGAACTGTTTCTTCTGGTCAACAATAATCATAACTCAACATTGCACATGCTGCAATGTGACTTGTGAAACAATATACAATTAATGGTCACTTTATTAGGTACACCTTACTAGTACCAGGTTGGACCCGCTTTTGCCTTCAGAATTGCCTTAACCCTTGACATAGATTCAACAAGCTACTGGAAATATTCCTCAGAGATTTTGGTCCATATTGACATGATAGCATCACGTAGTTGTTGCAAATTTGTCTGCTGCACATCCATGATGCGAATGTCCCGTTCCACCATATCCCAAAGGTGCTCTATTGGATTTTGATGTAGTGACTGTGGAGGCCATTTGAGGACAGTGAACTCATTGTCATGTTCAAGAAACCAGTCTGAGATAATTTGCATTTTATGACATGGCACGTCATCCTGCTGGAAGTAGCCATCAGAAGATGGGTACACTATGGCCATAAAGGGATGGACATGGTCAGCAACAATACTCAGGTAGGCTGGGGCGTTGGCACGATGCTCAATTGGTACAAATGGGCCAAAAGTGTGCCAAGAAAATATCCCCCACACCATTACACCACCACCATCGCCTGAACCATTGATATAATGCTGGATTGAGCTGTGTTTTTATGTTGTTGATGCCAAATTCTGGCCCTCCCATCCGAACGTCACAGTAGAAATTGAGAATCAGACCAGGCAAC